ACAAACTTTTATATTTTGGTAAATATTATGTCAAATATTATACAAAAATTTTAAAATATAATAAAATTCTTGTATTTACTTGAATTGAATCAAAACTTACTTCAAAATTAACAACTGACTTGTGTTATATTAAATCTTTTGATAACAATTAATATTAATATTCTGACCGTCAGTTTCTTACGAGTTGTAAGAATATGTGTATAGAATATGAAATCAAAAACGGTTTATATAGCGATATTTGCGTGCATTCAAGTGCAGCCTCTTATCTAAAAAAGCACTGCTTTGCAGTATTTATCTATGCGTTTATATACATGTAGATATTTATTTCATAATTTAGTTTACTATTATAGTATTTTTACCAATCATTGTTTATTTAATTCCATTAACTTAGCATTAGTTTATCATTTAAATCGTAATGCAATCGTTAGTTTTTAACCAATAATGCAATAGAAATTGTTATTTATTTAGGTTTAGTGCAAATAAGTGCAGACAACTTTCTTTATCAATTATATTCTCTAATATTCTTTGTTTTTATAATTACAAATTTTAATTAAATTATAGAATACTCCATTCAGAATGACAAAATTAAACAACATTTTTAAGTTTTACATAAAAATATATAATATTTAATTCTCTGATTAACATATATTATTAGCTCGTTTTATTATAAAGCCGTTACTGTAATTGCATTCAAACGGTAAGAATGGCCACAAAGAAAGTCAAAAAACGCAAACCAAGAGCTATTATCTGTGACATTGAGGGCACGACGACATCGGTTAAGTATTGGGGCGAATGTCTGGTGCCGTACATTAAATTCAATACAAAAATGTGTCTGAAGAGCAGATGGGATACACCACTACTTATGGATCTCATTAATAATCTCCGCATAAGTACTGCCGCTGATAATGAAAATGGAGCCAATAGTATGCGAACAGTTACATTGATTATTACCATTAATTCTTGATATTTACTTTGTTTTTGGATCCAACAGTTCCCGCGATTGCAGACACAGACCGGAGCCGAGACGGTATTTACACAATAATGTGTTTCAAATGTCCAAATTCTGAATGATATCAATTGTTTTTAGTTATTATTGAAACGGTTTCTAATAATGTGATCCATCAGATGAATAATAGGCGATATGGAAAAGCATTACAACACCTGCAGCTCTACGTCTGGTACTACGGCTACCAAAAGGGAGACTTTAGGGGACACGTGTTTGAAGACGTGAGCCGAGCGTTCAATCAATGGCATAATTTTCAAAATCTCAAAGTCTATGTGTATTCTTCTGGTGTATATCTGTCGCAGAAATTGTTGTTCTCGTGTTCAGTCAAAGGAAATCTAACGCCAGTAATGCAACCATTTTTTTAAATTTAACGACCGACTCTTTCACTTTTTTAAATTAATTTCTTAATTGACAGCTAATCCGAGATTATTTTGATGTCGAAACTTATGGCTCGAAGACAAGCGGTGATAGTTATATGAAAATTGCTACAAAAATAGGCGTTAAAACGACAAATCTTTTATTCATTTCCGATAACCCACAAGGTATTAAAATTATGTTCAATACATGAGTTATTTCTAAATATTTGTTTTATTATTGAATTCATTGAAGAATTAAATGCTGCCAAAGGAGTCGGTTGTGATGTATTGCTAGCCATCCGTCCTTTCAATAGAGAGCTCACAGACGAAGAAAAGCACGGATTGGAAACCATTGAGAGTTTCGATGAAATAGCTTTCACTTAAAGTTTATAAAATATGCTATAAATGCCATTTAAATTTTAAAAAAATGCTAAATTGTTAATTTGATTAAAAGTTAATAAATTTTTAGTTATTATTGAATATTTAAGTTTCTACCAAATGATAGAAATGTATGTGTGTATCATAATGTATCTTTATATCTGTATTTAATATTAATGTATCTAAACATAAGCATTTAAAACATTAGAATTTTTAGTTTGATTTAACATTAGTAAACTATATATAAAATACAATTAAATAATTTATTTCATGTATAATTTCTTTTTAAATAAAAATATCTATAATTTTTTAAAATTTAAATCACAACAAAATTTGATTTATTCGTCTATTAGTAGCCATTTATGAAACATAACTGTCTTCATAGGAATCCTGGTCTCGACCACCGGTTCTAATAGCCATCGAATTAAATCCAAACAATTTTTTGAGTATAGGTTTTCGGTTAACTTTGTTATCTCGTACTTCCTGTCCATCATTTTGCGAAAGGCGTCCTTATATTCCTTTGCATTCTTCTCATTTAAACGGAAGGGCTTTTTGCTACAAATCATGTAATAAAGACAAACTCCGAGTGCCCAACAGTCCGCTGGATATGAGGGATATTTTCTCAAAACATCCACTTTTTCTCCAAACTCTTCGTGTATGAAAAGTTTCATCAATTGAGGGGACATGTAATCAGCAGTTCCGGCCACTCGTTTCTCCTTAAGGATCCCTTTCTCCTTAGTCAAGGCGACACGACTTAACCCAAAATCAGTTAATTTAATCAAATCTTGTTTAGGAGGCGATTGAAAAACCAATACATTTTTTAGTTTGAGGTCTTTGTGAGCGATGTTTTGTTTGTGCAGAAAATTCAAACCATTTGCGATTTGTCTGAAATAATGTTTGGCTTTTTGTTCAGTAAATCGTTTATCTTTAATGAGTTCAGAGTAAACGGTTCCTTCCGCTAATTCCATGATTATGTAACCATTCCTTAGATTATGATCTTTGATAATGAAGTGCTGATGAATTTCAACAATATTTATGTGTTGTTTATTCACTCTTTCCATTATAACGATCTCCTGAGCAAAAGACTCTTCAGTTTGTGCTTCTGGTTTCAAAGGAGACCACAACTCAACCACTTTACAGGCCATTAGACCCTTCTTTGTGGTGATCTTAAAAACTTTACCAAAAGCTCCATCACCTAAACTATCCTCTAATTTTAAGCCCTGATTCTTGAGACAATCATCGATAGACTCGAATTCTTTGGGCACTTTATAGACACGCGTGACGTCTTTGGTTGGGATCCGACTCGGAGTCACATTCTTGTCGGCTCTCCTATCAATGCCAGACTTCAATGTCTTGGCTTTGGTTTTACTTTTTTCAGTTTTCCTTTCATCAGTTTTGTTTGAAAGACACGGACAACACTTCCATATGAAAGACATTTATCACAAATTTACACAAGACTTGGTATTCAATCAAAATTTGTATAAACCGTTAAAATTGAATTTTTCAAAAAACCAGTTTTTTAAATAAATTTAAATTGTGAAATCTATACTCAGTTTTATATCAATTTCACGATTAAGTTAATTGTTTCAAATAAATAAAAATTTATAACTTTAAAACAATCGTTAATTTAAAACTATCGTGATTTGTAAAAATTGAATTTACAATTTGGTTAAATTCTGTGATCAATAACTTATGATTATTCATTCAATACTGAATACAAATAAATAAGTATAAGTGTTGAATCTGAATATAAACATTGCAATTGTCTTTTAAAATGTCATTTTTGGCAAACTTTCTGATAGGTATTAAAATTATGTTCATTTAATTTCCAATAATCTCTTAATTACTAATCAATCAAACTATCATCAAAAAAGCGTTTATATATTTATCACTACTGAATGGCAACGAAACCACTCAAGACTTTTGCCAATCATTTGCCACAAACTCCCATCAAATAGACTATAGTTTTCAATATATGAAAACTAATGATAATAACACAATCGGCACTGAATTAGTGTTATTTATTGGACAAAACTATTGGTTCATTGAAATCATTGGCAAAACCGTTTCATTGCATAAAACGGGACTTAAAAGCGATTGGTTTGGCAGCGAATATACCACTGCTTTCAGTACTGAATTTAGTCCTGGATTTATATACGGATTATACAAAGTATGACTTAATTATACACATATCAAAACTTTATATTTTATTTTTTTTTAAACAATTTTCAATCCAATTAAAAGCCAGACGACCAGAACATACATTGGGGTCAGTTTCGGGGCACTGGTCTGACGGGCACACACCAGACCGAAGCGTCCACTTATTTTAGTTTCAAATCCGATTTCAAGCCCACGGTATCCGTAAGAGTAAGCTATAAGTCGATCGTTTGTTTTATGAGCCAAAAGCCCAATCCAAATGACACGACTGTCTTCGTCCGGAACTACCGGTGCTATGATTTGACAGACATTCACATTCCGATACACGTCTCGCATAATATTGAGACCATATATAGCGTTCACTTCGAGTCCAACAGTCCGTATCAGTTGGTGACGGTGTCGGGCCCTTACACTCAGCACCAGTACCTATGGCTGTACAAAGTGGACAATAGCCTATTCTACTGTTGGACAGACAAAGACCGATTGTTCACAGATGTAAGCGCTCTAACTCTCGCTCTCTCATAGAATTTAATTACAATATCAATTAATTTGGTATTAATTAGTGCCCGAAATCTGACCATAAGTTACTAATCAATTGCAAATTAAAGTCAGAGCCGAGCGCTTTGATCCCAGAGTCGGCTGGATTTGGGTCAGGCGCTGGCGACGGGTCGTCTCCTATATATACGATATGCTATATAATTATGGTTTTGGCATTTGTTTTGACCGTTTCGGTGATAGTTATGTCGTTTTTGGTTTACAACAAACAACAAGAGGTCGGCGCCCAACCACTCGCCCCGTCGTCCGCCAAAGAGACCAAAGATAAGCACAAAGAAGAGGCTAAAGATAAGATCAAAGATGAGGGCAAAGATAAGGCGACCGATAAGGCGGTCAAAAACAAAAAGTAGAGACTTGTAATATCGCCCCGTCGTCCGCCAAAGAGACCAAAGATAAGCACAAAGAAGAGGCTAAAGATAAGATCAAAGATGAGGGCAAAGATAAGGCGACCGATAAGGCGGTCAAAAACAAAAAGTAGAGACTTGTAATCGTTTTGACACTTTATATATCAATAGTTGTTATGAAAGTGTTGTTTTATTTTATTCCCAATTCTTAACTTATATTTATATTTTGATCAATTAGATTGAAATGTTTATTAAAATTAAATATTATTTTATTGCATAAAATGTTTCGTAAATATAAAAATTAAATAACACCGTGGGTAACTCTGATTGTTATCATGGTAGTACATGGTATTTAGTTACATTGTCTAAATCTGTATCAGAATATAAATAATAAATATATTAGTGACCTAGTTCATTGTTTAGCTTACATTAGTTCTCTGACAAAAAGCAGCACAAAAAATTTTTTAATTACAAAACTATATTTTATTTGAGATAAAATTTTTAACGTAAAAACTGTGGGGCAGTCGGGCATCAGCTTGCACTCGGCATAAGCACTCGGTATAGGCATTCGGGCAAATAGGCATTCGGGCAAATAAGCATTCGGGCAAATAAGCACTCGTTTATAATTAATTTGATAAACAGTTTATAAACTAATAAATTTTTAACCAAAATTCATATTTATTTTTGTAAATTATGGTTAAACTCCTGTAATTTGTGGGCAAACTTTGTTAAAAATATAGATCTCTGTTAATTTAAAAGCAATTAAAATCGGTTTATTATTTATTATTGTTTGTCTCAATCGTATAAATTTAAATTTTAAAAAACTAACGTTTTATATAAAATAATCGTTTGATAACTAAATCTGAATTTTGAAATCAAAATTTCCGTTTCTTTTGACAACTTTTCTGTTTAAATAAAAAACTACTTATTTTGAAAACTTGTTAATCACTTCCAGAAGAATGAATCGCAAAGACATCGATCCACTGGTGAATGAGTTGCAGAAAATGTATAAAGATAACGACGAATCACTTGAAAAGGCCATGAAATTGACGTCTGAGAAGTACCAGAAGAAGCGGACAGAACTGAAGACTAAACTCGACCGACTCAGACAGGAGGCGGAGGAGGCGTCCGCTGCCATCACATCTGACTCTTCGTCTCAAGACATGAATTTCTTTCAACGATCGCAACAAATGAATCAAATTTTCACCGATACTCAAAGGGAAGTGCAGTCAGCCATCGATCGACACAAAGACCGCTTCAGTCATATGGAGAAGATGTGGTCTCCGAATACCAATGACTCCTCCCGTCGGACACAAGTTATGGGTCAAGAGTTGACTGCATTGAAAGACAGACAGAAGCAGGCGATTGACGAGAAGTCTAGGAAAGTGTCAGAATTGGTCGAGAATTTGGATCGGATTCAGAGGGATATCGACGGAAAACAACGGGAACTAAAAGATATCGATAGGAAAGAAACGGAAGCGCTTCAGACCTGCGAGAAGTCGGCTCAGAAGGACCAAAATGAATGGTCGAGAATTTGGATCGGATTCAGAGGGATATCGACGGAAAACAACGGGAACTAAAAGATATCGATAGGAAAGAAACGGAAGCGCTTCAGACCTGCGAGAAGTCGGCTCAGAAGGACCAAAATGAGGACTTAGACAAAGAGTTGCAGAACTTCTTGCAAAAAACCAAAGATTTGTTCAAAAGATAAAATTGAATTTAATTTGTTTGTTAGAAAATGATTCTATTCTCGATAAAAACTTTAACTTTAAAATTATTAATTATACAGTAATAAAGTAAACGTCAACTTTATTTCGAAAATTTAGTTTTATTTTTAATTTTTACAAATTTAATGCAATGAATAGAAGAGTTGTATCGAAATTAATAAATGCATTCAATAAATACAAATTTTGAACGAATGTATTAAATGTGATGAATAGACCTAAGAAGTGATTATTGAAGCAATCGTTAGGTCTTAAGCCTTTTGAACCACTGGTGGTGGCGGAGGAGCAGTTGTGAGGCGTATATACGGTCTATCATTGAGGGCCACTTCAAGCGTTTTGAGACCAATCCAGCAAATGCTAAGACAACAAAGACAACAACACACCACTACTACAAGACCGATGATGGCCAGCAATATGAAGGTCGCGCCAGTTATGGTCACATATTCCCACTTATGGCCGTTCCATGTCTTGATGTTAATTTCAAATGCGGCCGACAATCTGTTTATCAAATCATTGTTTTAAGAATTTAATGTATTTTTAAATAACATAATCCATACTCGAAGAGAACTGTTTGTATGACAGCCACAAAAATGAGGCTCAAATTCATGTCTTTAATCGCTTAAATTGATAATAAATTCTTGTTTTCAAATACGAATCCAAAATACTTATGACTTTAAATATCAGATTTAATGACTAATTATATAACTGTAAGAACTGTTTGAATCAAATGATGTAAAATCGTTTCGCAAAGTCAACAATCAATCACTTTTTTTGTCGCGTAATTGACTTTTGCAATGAATTATTGCTAAAATATAACATTATATAAACCATACGTTTATAAAAATCAATAAAACAGTACAATTAGTGTAAAATAAATTTTAATATTTTATGAATTAAAAGTGTTACACAATATAAACTTAATTTAATTCCTATTGACGTGATTATGGACTTTTAAATACAAGTAATTTAAAACAATGTGTAAATAAACTATAAATAAGTTATAAATGCAAGAAGTGATTAAAAAAATATACAACAAAACAACCATCAGATCTAATGCTAAGCAAATCCTAAACTCTTTTGTTGATTCCAAGCGATGAGCAAATTCTTCGTGTCTCCGAAGCCATGGGACGCAATCACGTCCTCAAAAGCGCTGGCGCTATAACTCAATGACCAGAAATAGAAGTTTGGATTATGTCTCGGAATAATTGATAACTTCTTCGCCAATATTCCCACATAAATGTCGTCAAATCGGAAGTGTTTCGTATATAAAGAGCCGAAATACATGTCTATTAGCGATGTGTTGGACAATACAAAAGCGCCGGCCGTTATGTACGGCGGGTATAATGAATACGGATATTCTTCGAGAGACGCAAACCATTTGCTTGTCTTATGCCTGAGTGGAGGTGACTTTGGAAAGAGATAACCGGTGTATAGGCGGCCATCGAAGCGAGTATTGGATTCCATATCAATTGAATTGGAATCAATCATTGGCCACGAATTGAGTGGATTTCTCACATATTTCAAGAGATTCTTAATTGAGATGTAATAGTCGTCGTCCACGAAGAGTATGAACTGAGCGCCGGAACAGTAGGCGACCGACCATTTGATGGCAACCATCGTTTTGATCGTATTGTTATAAT